TTTTGAAAATTTCCTCACTTTTTTAAACTTTATTAAATGTATTACTAGTACCAATTGCTAATAAATGGATTCATAGTAATTAAGGTAATATGCCACTATCTTTTATAGAAGAAAACCATACAAAATAAATATGGTGCAATTAAGTTTACTAGATTAAAAAAAGTAAAATTAAATAATAATTATAAATGATAATGTATCTCATGATGTCCTACACAGACTGGTCCCTATGTGCCTCTCTAGTCTCCCCTCTGCCTCCCCTACTTAATCGTCCATCCCGCTCTTTCAGGCATATTGGTTTTTCAGCCCCTCAGAACCAGCCCTACTCCTACCCACCACAGTGGGGCTATTGCACGGGTTGTTCCTTCAGTACAGATCGGTGAGAGGACACACTCAGGAGTGCTAGGAAACCTGGAGAATATAACAAATACAACTGCTGAAAACAAGGATTATGCTTTCCTGAAAAAGAGTCTAGAATTGCACAGGTAACACTCAGGATTTTTTTTTTTTAGGCTCTCTCATGCAGTTGCGTATCACTCATGATCTCGTCGTTGAGCTGGATGTTCAGGTTCTTGTCCTGGCACCAAAGTTTAACTCTAAGATCTTAGATCACATATGTACCAGATATGTGACTCAGTCTCTCCATTTATCAAATAAAAACAATTAGCATGGAGACAAGAAACATGTGGGCACATGTGCAAGTGACTCTCTGCCCCCACAACTTTCAAAAGGGCAAAAATTACTGTCAAGCACATGAAAGATACGCTAAATCACCTACCTAAATTGTTGAATGCCATTCATGGTTGCATTTGTTCTATGACCAGGGAAAATTACAGTATTTTCTTCCAGACACCTACCTCTACCAAATCCAACCTTTGTGCCCAACCAATTATCTTAGTCATGCTGCATTTATTTATAGCTCTTGTTTGCAAAAAATTATCCTGTATTCATACTTATGAAAAAATGGGATAATAAACGGGGGAGCAGTATGGTCACTTTAGATGGTATTTGACATCCATTCTCCTTTCTTCCTACAACAGTGACCTCCGCTTTCCTTGGGGGCATTACTTAGTCCCCTACTCTCAGAAGTGTGGGAGAAGTCAGCCCCACCCAGCTTCATTCCCTGGGCCACAGTCAGGAGATGCAATCAGAACTAAGGGGATATAGCTGGGGACTTTTGCTTGCAATCGTGCTCTTTTCTGCTGGACTTGAATCTGGGAAGATGCACTTGGTATCTTAAATAAGCCCCTTCTCCTCATTTTTCCACCCTACTTTATGCCCTGAAGAAAACGGTTCTGCACAATGTAAGTTCCCTCTGGCTTCTGGTTGAATTCTGCCAAGGAGCAATACCAGCAGGAGGTCAGAGGGAGGGGGAAGTGTGAGGCTGGGGTGTTATTCCCCTGACTCCTGTGTGGGGCTGCTGCAAGTTGGCTGTGTTCCCCTCTCCTGAAGACCCCGGTGCCTGTGATACAGCCCACTCCATCCAGGTGCCTCCATTTCGTATACGCTCCTCAGATCACCCACTTTGAGGGCCATATCTTTCCTATGTTTGATGCAGACTGAGACAGAGGGTGAAGGGCTGGACCTGCTCACAGCCTCTGGGTCATCCTGCAGGGTCTGCGACTAAGACTGACATGAAGATAAGCAGAGCCAAGGGAGGACGAGGGACTGGGTTCGGGTCCCCTTGGGTGGCCCCCTAACTCTGGTCATCATACTGTCCAAGGCTACATCACACACTAATTCTTCAGTTACATGAGCCAGTATATTTCCCTTTCTTGCTCAAGATATTTTGAGTTGGGGTTTCAATCACTTGAAACAGAAGGAGTCTTCATTAAGATGTAACTAAAAATATAGCTCTAAAGTGGAGACGCATGGATCCCTGAGTCTGAGGTCTCTAAATTTGACCTAAATACAGTTCCAGTCTCCATAAGGCCCAATCCTATAGCAGATCTTGTTTTTAGATTTCTCTGAGATTCTGTCTCTTTTACACATTATGTGTACCCTTACAATATTCTCTATCTTTGTTCGAGTTAATATGAGTAAGTCTCTGCTCCTTGGAACAAAGTGAATGTAATAAAACAGTTCCCATTTTGCAGATAGGAAAATGGATATATGAAGAAACGTTGTCAAAGTCAGAGGTACTATGAAACCTGGACTTGGTAGGCAGGTTGAGGTTCTTTCCTTGCTACTTATGTTCCCTGCCCTTCCCCCCATGCTTGTCCCTTCCCTTTTGCCCTAGTAGCCTAGGTCATGTCATGTTATCTCATCACCTTGATGAAAAGGTGCCAACTGTTGGAGAGGGAAAGCTTGTCTGTCTCTGAATTTCCTCCTCTTTTCTATGCAGTCATTTGACATTTAACATGTGCTACCCTATGAAGGGTTGGGGGATGTTTTATAATGTTGTTTAACTTATACTTTATTTAGCTTCTCAAGTATTTATGACTTGCCTTCCCAGGCAAGAGTGAGTTTATCTCGTATCTGATTCATCTCAGAAAAATCTAGAGTGCTTAGCACAGTATCTAGCTCACATTAGATAATCAGTAAATATCCATTGGCAAGATTCACTAAAAGGATCTTACATTAGGCACTATGCTGGCTAAGCTGCTGTAACAAAATTACAGTGGCTCCAACATAACAGAAGTTTGTTTTTCTCCCATTGCCCAGAGGTGGGCAGGCAGTCCTGGCTGGGTAGGTGGCGCTGTTCTAGAAGTCATTCGGGGACTCGGGTTCCAACTTCTTGCTCTGCTACCCTCCAGGGTGTTTGTCCCCTCATGGTCAGAGCTGGTTCACCAGCACCACATTCGCATTCTGGTTAAGGAAAGGAGGAAAGGGAAAGTGAAGGGAAAGCAGGTAGCTTCCTTATAAACATGTGATTCAAATTTGCACATGTTACCTCTGCTTGCATCTCATCCACTAAATCATTGTCACTTGGTTACACCAGCTTGCAAGTGAAGATGGGAAATATAAAATCTTAACGGACAGCCACATATTCTAATAAAACTCAGGGTCATATTAGTAAAAGAAAGATGAGGAGCTGTTTGACCTTGGATGGCTAAAATTAAAATGATTGATGATACTAACTGGGCGGGAGTATGAAATGGTACATCTACCTTAGAGGACTCTTTGGTCATTCCTCTTCTAGGTATCTACGTAAGAGTAATGAAAACGTATGTCAAGAGGCATTCTGGAAGAGGCAGAACTATGGAGACAGTGAAAAGATCAGTGGTTGTCAGGGGTTAGGGGAAATCAAGGGATGAATAGGCAGAGCACAGAGGAATTTTAGGGCAGTGAAAATCCATCATCGTATGTATATCCTTCGTTGTACTATTATACTTTGTAATAACAGTACAACGATGGATATATGTCACTAGACATTTGACGTTTGTTCAAACCCTTAAAATGTACAACATCAAGTATACAATCCTAATGTAAACTATGGACTTTGCATGATAATAATGTGTCCATACAGATTGGTCAATTGTAATAAAGGTACCACTCTGGTGGGGGATGTTGGTAATGGGGGAGATTGTGCATGTGTGGGAAATCTCTGCACCTTCCTCTCAATTTTCTGTAAACCTAAAACCGGTCTTAAAAGAGTCTTTAAAAGAATAATAAAAAGCCAAAAAAAAAAAAAGAAAATATGTGTCCAACAGTAATGAAAACATATATCCACAGTGTTGACCAAAATTAAGGCTGTTCAGGCAGAAATAATTTGATAAAAGTTTATTGAAAGCCAAATTCCAGGACAGATCCAAGAAGACACACCCACAAAGTTGGGCGTGTTCCAAAGTCTGCTACAAGTTGGAATGCTTTTGTAAGTAAGTTTAGGAGAAGGGAGGGGACTCCTCATACGGTAGTTGTCTTTTTCTTTGGAGGGTACAATACAGAGGTTACAGTCATTGGCTACAGATGACAACATACAAGCTAAGGTGTTTTATGAGCAAGACAATCAGTAAAAACTTTGTGATTCAGAATCAAATTAGCAAAACTTCATGCCACGGTCCTATGCCTTTTCCCCACCCAGCTGAAGTCTATCTCAGGCTTTTGCTTCATCTTTTTATTACTCCTCCAACAGTGAAACATCTGTGTGGGGGCGTCTGCTTGGCTGAGCCTAGGTCAAACCTACATATGTTTAACAATAATGCCCAAGGAGATGGGAGAGAGAATGTTTCATTTGGTGTCTAGATTGGTAGGTGGGGCCCCAAGACGACCAATATTCACAACGTAATCTATTGTTCAGACTCCTGCTTGTCACTCCCACGCCTGTCCAGCACTTCCCAGATCCAGGACAGGCTCAGTGCAGTTATGACCCAAACCACTGATCTGGGCTGTGGAGGCTGCGTGGCGTGGAAGGTCTCTCTGGCTCAACCAGGTAGGAGATCAAAGTGGGTGGAGATCTGGGCAGGGAGACCAGTCGTACCGTACTAGTGAGATACGATGAGAGCTTGAATTACATGAGGGAACTATTTGGAGGGCAGATGGGATGATGGGACTTGGTGATTAATCTGCAATGTGGGAAGGCTGGGAGAAAGGAGCTAAAGGAGATGGCCCGATTTCTGACTTGAGAGGGAGGGGGAGGTGTGCGTGTGTGTGACTGCGTGTGTACAGAGACAGTGACATCTAAGAGAGGCACGGAATGAGTTAGTTTTATTCCTCTTTGGGGTGGACGGGTGGGGAGGGTTAAGTTTTTGGCGTGGTGAATTGGAGATGCAGATGTTCAGTACACAACTGAAATTAGTTTGAGGGACCAGCGAAGGTCAAGTCTGGGGTGTCTATTGTCTGGGCCTGGGTGAGCTGGGCCCAGGTGGTGAGGAAGAGCGCGGGAGAGAGGGTCCCACAGATTCCCGGCCTTGAGGAAGGGGTCTCCGTGCCGCGCACGTGCCCTCGGGGCGCCTTCCCCGCCCCCTTCCCAGGTCCTGCCCCTGTGGGCGGGGCGCGGCAGCGCGGCGGAGAAGTCACCCGGAAGACGAAGCCGGGTAGGCGCGGGCTTTCCCATCTCCGGTCCCCGCCGGCAGACCCCGGGAGGGCGGGCCGCAGGGTAGGAGGGAGGCGCCAATGCCGGGGCCAGCGGCGCTGAGCGCCGCGGCGGCTGCGCTGGTGGCCGCCCTGCTCCTGCTGCGGCGTGAGGACGCGGGGCGGGGGGTCGGCCCCAGGTAACCCCTCCGGGTAGAGGACCGAGAGGGACCCGCACTCCTTCTGTGGTCCGGGATGCCGTGGGGAAGGAGGCCCAGTGGTTGTGTCAGTAGTTCGTAGCACCTGGCGCGCCCTGCACCAGCTCGGGCCCCTTCCAAAGTGTCGGTTGGCACAGGTGCGGGGGACGGCCGAGGCGCGGAGTCCGCAGGTGACTCAGCGCTTTCCCCTGGGCCCTCTGCACTTTCCTCTGTTACTCTGCGGAGAATAACAGTAGCTTCCTCCCGAACAGATAAACAGCCCTTGTTCCCCCGGGTAAGGACGTGCAGTCCCTTAACATCCTCACACCAGCGCCTGTTGTTATTTTCCCAGCATGGACGAAACAGAGGCGCTGCGGAAGCTTCGGGAAGACTTTAGGATGCAGAATAAATCCGTCTTTATTCTGGGCGCTAGCGGAGAAACCGGCAGGGTGCTCTTAAAAGAAATCCTGGAACAGAGCTTGTTTTCCAAAGTCACGCTCATTGGCCGGAGGAAACTCACCTTCGACGAGGAGGCTTATAAAAATGTGGTGGGTATTTGAGCTGGGACTCAAATGTATCCCTAGTGATTCTGCAAGGCGAACATTTCTTGCGTAATGGCTGAACACTGCCCTGCCAGCGATGGAGGCGGGGAGAGGCGTCAAAATTTGGGCATGATTGATCTGTGAGAGCCCCTCCTGGAAGCCCGACTCCTGGTTTGTAGGCCCAGGTCGGCTTCCCTGTCATTGTGTGGCTTTGAGGGAAGCCCTTCCCTCCATCTGGAACCCTGTAAAGCTGGACCTAGGTGGGGATGGGGACTGGAGAGACAGAAAAGCACTGTTCTCAGGGCCACACAAGCTGTTTTCTAGAGATGGTCCTGTGACCCTGACAGTTTTCTCAATCACTTTGCTTATTTTGTGTTCCCCTGCACTTTACAGTAAAGTGAATCTGCAAATGCGTGGCAGAGTGGGAAAGGTCTTTTGACAGTGAAAATGCAGTTATTCACTTACAAGAATTTGTCTTGCCGGACATCCCAGGCTTGTGTCTGTAAATGGAATACTCCCTTCCCTGTAAATTACACTTTCATGGTTAAGTGAGTGATACACCTGGCTTTGATCTGGTGATAACCTCCTAAATATCGGCCCTAAATATCTGAAGTTCACTGAGCTTCGTGGAGATTCTGTTCTCCATTTAAACTGTGAACAATTCAGTGTGATCCTGAGACACCACAACTACACCATTTGGCCCTACAGGTTTCATAAGAGGAACATTCCAAATAACAAGTGGTCTTGAAAATAAATGTTCTTGATTCCCTGAAGTCTGTGTTCAGGTTATTTTGTGAATGTCTTTGGCCCATTGGGACTTGCCTGTTTAAAACAGACATCTTTGCAGGTTTAGGCAGGTGACATGTGGTCTTCATGGTCTAGTTTCATGAGCCTTGTCATACTCATGATAGTTAGAAATGGAATTTGAGATCTGTGTTTGCAGAGTTGAGTTTTGGTGGCACATCTTTTGACCAGGCACTTTGTGAAAACCTATTTTTCTTCAACGTTGTGTGCAGTGTCAGAAAAATTCTTTTGAAAGAGTAGACTGAAGGAAACCAACATTTTGTTGAACTCCTGGATGATAGGAGCTTCTCTAGCTTTCTTTTTATTTTTTATTATTTTTTATTTTTTGAGACAAGGTCTCACTCTGTTGCCCCAGGTAGAGTGTAATGATGTGTCATTATAGCTCACTGCAACCTCAAATTCCTGGGTTCAAATGATCCTCCTGCCTCAGCCTCTCATGTAACCAGGACTGCAGGTACACACCACCATGTCTAGCTAATTTTTCCATTTTTTGTAGAGATAGGGTCTGTGTTGCTCAGGTTGATCTCAGGCTCCTGGCCTCAAGTGATCCCCCTGCCGCCACCTCCCAAAGTGCTAGGATTACAGGTGTGAGCCCCTGCACCCGGCTTCAACCTTTCTCTTTTAAGTTTTACAGTAAACTTATAAAATTAGATGAATGCTCTTAAATTTCAGCGTGCGTGAGAATTATTGTGGGTGCTTGTTAAAAGTGCGGATTCAGAAGTATTCAGGTGGGACCTAGGATTATCCATTTTTATCATACACCTTCTGGCTAATTCTAATACAGTGGTTTACAGATTGGACTAAAGGAAAGATTATCACCCACATTTTACAGCTGAAAAAAACTGAGGCATATGATCAATAACTTGGCCACAATTACATGCCTTGTAAGTAGCAGGCCCATGATCTGAACCTAGGTCTTTGAAATACCAAACACCATCCCCTGCTCCCACAGTATACCTCAGTGGTCTCCTTCCTGGTGAGCTATAGGCAGATCTTTTATTTTTCTGGAGAGAAATTATAACCGAACCTGACTTTAGACATCTGGATCACCCTAGTCCAGTTATACTGTGGACGTATATGTGTATTGTTGATTTTCAATTCAGATGCATTGCTTATTGGTGGGAGAAAATGAATTTGCAAAGTTTGATGTTAAGTGAGTAGACCCTTCAGTAATGTTCTATAATTTAGTTTTTAAATCTAGAGGGTTTGTTTGTGTGTTTTTGAAATAATATGAAGTTATGTACAACTGTACCCTTGTCTAGAATCAAGAAGTGGTGGACTTTGAAAAGTTGGATGACTACGCTTCTGCCTTTCAAGGTCACGATGTTGGATTCTGTTGCCTGGGTACCACCAGAAATAAAGCCGGGGCGGTAAGGAAGGAATACACCTTTTTCCCTTTTTGCTGGCCAGTAATGTCAAGGAATCCTTTCTTGCTCACTCTTTTTCTTTGTGCCTGTTGCAGTGCTTAAATGTAAATAAGCTCTTATTATTTATAAGATTCCGTATGCTGCCCTAAGCTTTGCAATACTTTGAATAGTACCTATAAGTTTGTCTTTCTTTCAGAGTAATCCATGAGTTCAGGCCTAAGTGCTAGAGACATCATAAATATTTATATGATCTTGCCTATTGCAAATATTACTATCACTAACTTGCCCTAAGGCAAACTATGATGTCTGTCTGAGTAAAAGAAATGGACTCATGCCGTTAGCAGTAAGGTTTTTTCCCCCCCTTAATACATGTTTTAAACTTGAAGCGTTCTCTCTCACTTGAGTGATGCATCTCATTTTCATGCTAAGCTTTAAACTTTTGGGATAGAACATCGGAACACAGAGGCACGATTCAGCCAGCCTCCAGTGATGACTCAGCCTTCAACAATGATTCAACCCCAGGAATGATTCAGCCTTCACTGACGCAAAACTCTTTTAATACGCCATTTTATTTTCTTTTTAATGGTGTTCTAAATTGAGATGGCCTCTGTCCAAAAGTCATAGTTTACTACATAGATTCCGGGAAAATGTTAATACAGGTATATCTTAATTTATACCTTGACTATAGTTTATCCCTCTGGCAGAATTTACATTCTGAAGCTGAACACGTCTATTAAATATACGGGAACATGATTCTGCCGTGGGGATTTATCATAGGTTTATAAACCAGGCCCATGCATCTGAATCATTAGGGGAGCATATGGTTAGGAAGTATTGGTTTATACCAACCAAGTAGTTAGGCTCAGGTGAATTTCTCTGGGCCTTCTGGTCATCCAAAGAATAATTCTATTTATGCTTTCAGTTGAGATATATTTCCACATCTTCTGCAGTTCTGCATATTCACCCTGAATACAGCTTGGTTTTGAGCTCTGTTCTGGGAACTGTGGATTATAGAGACATTTGACTTTCCCAGGAATTGGCACATTATCTCTCCTGGAAAGGGTCATGTTCCTGTTCTGCAGCTGGTACATTTTCTGTCCCAGGGACAGTCATAAGCAGTGTCCTCCAAAAGCATTGAAAAACTTTTACTCCAGGACACTGCAGCTTTCACTGTCTCAAGTGCCAAACTGGTTTCGGTGGTGACTCAGCAAAACAAAACACTGCATTAGGCATAGAGCAGTTGATTTTCATGACATAAGGCAAATCTCATTATAGGACGTGCCAGGAAAAAGTCCGAATTGCTTTGTTGCATTCAAATTTTGTAATGTAATTTTAAACAGAGGAATTGGGTGTCCTCACTATCCAGAGTATTTTTTTTTAAATGGGGTTGGATCTCCACCTCTCCAGCTACTCAATGCCTTTTGTTCTCCTTTAAAATCAGTTTGAAAAAGATAAATGAAATTAATTAGTAAGCAAGGGAAGACTAGTAAGCCAAATGGTCTCAGAAATGAGTTAGGACTTAAATGGTTTAAGAGGATTGCACAGAAAGTAAGCTGACACATCTACCGGAGAGGGTTGGTTGGTTTTTTTTTTTTTTTTCCAAACTAATTTGGATTAAGTACAATATAAACTTTGGAGGTTGTGATAACTTTAGCAGTTGAAAAGAGGTGACAGTTTGCAAGTGGCTCAGAAACAATAGTTGTTCAAAGGGGAGTGTGGATTTCCAAGCTTTTCCCAGCTGGTGTTCTGGGTCAGCAGCCCTCTGTAGAAAAGTACACTGGGTGGTTCATCAGATGGATACCCAAAGCTGGTGGCAAGCCTAGTGTCATTCAATAGCTGTTTTACAACTGGAACACCATATATTTTGCCTTAGCAATCTGAGTTTCCAGTAGAGAAACTTCAAGAAATATTGTCTCAGTGTTGAGATTGTATGAGTAGCCAGTTTTAGTCTATTAGTTTGCCAGGGCTGCCATAACAAAGTACCATAACCTGGGTGGCTTAAACAACAGAAATTTATTGTCTCACAGTTCTGGAGCTTAGAAGTCTGAGCTCAAGGTGTCAGGCTGGTTCTGTCTGATGGCTGTGAAGGAAGGCTCTGTCTCTGGGCTCTCTCCTTGACGGTGGCTGCTTTCTCTCTGTGCCTCTTCGCATGGTGTTTTCTTGGTATGCCTGTGTCCAAGTCCACGTTTTCCCGTTTTATAAGGACACTAGTCTTTTTGGATTAGGGGCCATTCTATTCTGTTTGACCTCATCTTAACTAATTACATCTACAGTGATCTTATTAATATTTCTAAATAAGGTCACGTTCTGAGATACTGGGGGTTAGGACTTCAACATATGCATGGCGGCGGAGCGGGGGGGGGATACAATTCAACCCATAAAATTTAGTCTACCCAGACGTCTGCTGAAACTGGTGCTAGGGATAGGTCTATTAGCTTTCTGCAGCTGTTTGGAAGACCATTTCCTTTAGCAGTAGCTGGTTAGATGCTAGTCTTCCTTTTCACATCCACAGGCCATAGTTGTCTAATCAATGCCCTAATTCTGATCAACTGGATCAGAATCTCTGAGGTTGGAAGCTTGGAATCTGTATTTTTAGCAGGCTCCTTGGGAGATCCTGATGCAGCCAACCTTGTCCTTCTTGTTGGACCTGCTTTTGGGAGGCATTGGGGCGACTATAGTCCTCATCTTCACCTTGCTTTAGTGAGTAACTTGTGTGCTTTAGTGAGTAACTAGTGAAGGTTGAAATGCCCTTTGAAAACCAGATCTACACTGGCCTGGAGTAAAGAGAAAAACTCAAAGATGCCACTGAGAATACTGCATTTCCCCTTATTTATATTAAGAGAAGGATTTGAGTTTGAGGTGGTTTGATGTGGTTTCACCTCTTCATTTGTCTCCTCACTTGTTAGGAGCAGACTCCAACAGCCTAGGTTCTTGGATTCTATTGAATAGAAGATGTCATTATGCATCATTAATCTCAGGGCTTCTGATTCTAATGATATTCTCTTCTAATCCAGGGGTTTGCCCACTATAGCCTGGTGGCCAAATATAGCCCGCCACCTATTTTTGTTTAGCCTGCAAGCTAAGAATATTTTAATGTTTTTAAATGGTTAAAAAAAATTCAAAAGAATAATATGTCATGCCATGGGAAAATAAAAGAAATTCAAATTTTCATATCCACAAATAAAGTTTTCTTGGAACACAGCCATGCTCATTACTTTATGTATTTTACCTACGGCTGCTTTTGTGCTATAATGGTAAAGCTGTGTCATTGCAACAGAGGCCTGCAAAGCTGAAAATATTTACTCTCTGATCCTTCACAGGAAAAGTTTGCCCACTCCTGTTCTAATCTATTGTTTTATTTGATGTCTAGAAGGGGGCTTGTGAAGGGGAAAGGTCCTAGATGGTTCAAGGGACCCAGATCACAGGCCCCGTTTGGATGCCAGGTAGCTGTGGAGCCTTGGGTATGCTGGTTAGCTCAAAGAACTTGAAGCAGAAATAGAGCTAAGTGGTACCACTTACAGAATGATAGAGCGTCCCTTCTTGGAAAAGGACCCCATGACCTTGAGTTATTCCACCTTGCTCACTTGTCCTATCAGTTAGCACTGAAATACTGTACCTGTTAGGATGAGTTGTTCTTAAGCTAGAGTGGTGTTCCTAGTTTTCAGGCATTGGTAAAGAAGATTAGAAGAAATGCTTAGTAGCTTTGGATTTTAGTAAGACTTAAAATGAGTAATTGGAGAATTTGCTTCCCATGATGTTTGTGGAGCCGTTGAGAATCTCTCTACTGAATCATAGTACATTGTGTTTATTCTTTCAAGTGAGTGCTGGGAAAGGAAATTTATAATGGGAACTTAATTTCTTTCTCTAAAACGAACTCCGATTCCTAGCTTAGAGGAAGGTACATTGGCTGTGGAATCATAAAGACACAAAAACATAATGGACTTAATACTCTCAGATGTCTGTCTTTTCTCTTGCCATATGGTTAGTGAAACTAAGTACGGTTTTTCCAAATATTGTGTTTCTGGGGTATGGAGTAGCTTCTTAGTTTTTCTGTTGTTCTTTAATTTGAGCTGTTGGAGAAGAAGAAAGGGAATGAATAAGTTTTAAAAGATGGCTCCTTCCATCTGCAAATGGAATCTTCCTCACTCCAAAGAAAATTGGTCTGTTGGTATCTCCTAGTCAGTCACTGGGACCCACGCTTAAGTTTGATTTCTAAGTCCTTGAAAGCTGTTGACCCTTTTGCTTTTGAGTTTCATTCACCAGTTAAAAGGCCACGCCATCAGGGTGACGGAAGTGAAATTCAAAATTTAGTGGGCTTCAAAAAACGCGTATTTATAATCAGCTTGAGGGCTCAGAGGATTTGTGAAATCGTTTTGGATTAACAGCCATTGATTGCTAATAAAACAATATTTAGCTTTGTCCAGAGAATAGCGATGGAGAAAGGTATGGGCACCTTGTCAACAGGGCCCATTGAGCAGGGCTGATGGGCTGAGTATGGGGGTCTCTGCAACAGCGAGGGTGCTCGTCCTTCAAGGAGCTGTTGTCAGTTGTTAGCCAGGCCGGTGAAAGGAAGGACGCCAGAGTCTGATGGCTGGGGTGGTATTGATGTGCCTTCACTGACTAATCAGATTGAAAAAGTCCCATGGTATTTATGTCACTTTAATTTTCATCAAACAATTGGAGACGACAGCACTCTATTAAGGAGAGGTTGATCCAGAACTAAAGCCAAATAAATTAGGGTCTCAGTTTAATCAAATTATCCCTTTACTGGCTCTGGATTAAGTGAGAGGGACAGCGTCAGTCTAGAGACTTGTGATTGGTTGAATCTTTCCCTTATTTTTAAAGAAGCTGATGAAAGAAAAAGCATTTTAACAGAGACAACTATAATAATCCTTCCAAGCATTTGTGCTAGAACAACAACACTACAACTGAATTTATTTCACTAGTCAATGGTGTTATTTAATTATGAATAATGAACCTGTTATTAAAATCAGAGTTCTGGTGACTCGGAATGAGGGGAAGAAATAGATATAGAAGAGAAATTCAGTGTTTTAGAATTTCCTGTATAGTTCTGGGTGGTTTTTCTTGGCACACATTCAGCACATCTAAAATCTCAATTTGGAGAATGGCCCTGAGAAGAATCATATCTCTCTCTCTCTCTCTCTCTCTCTCTCTCTCTCTCTCTCTCATTTTAATGCCGAGTATTAAAATTGGTTTGCTTTACACTTATTTTAAAAAGCAACAACATGAATGTGAATCAGTATGTAGGACAGGTTGGCAAGACTGTTGTTTAGGACTGAGTGTCAAAGTGTCCACATAAAAGGAGAGAGTGATGACCCAAGAGTAAAGAGGTAAGGTTATATTACTTGTAAATTAAAGTAGAAAAAGTAAAGCAGAAAACACTAAGGTATAAAGTGAGGCTGAAAACACTGCCCTACAGGTAGTGGATATAGTTAAAAATGGACTCATGAGTGATGAGAAAGAAGGGTAAGGGCGGCTTTTAGGGTAATAGTAATGTTCTATTTCTTGATCAGGGACCTGGTTGCACAGGATGTTCAGTTTATGAAAATTTATTGAGCTCTATAATTACAATATATTTACTTTTCTTTTATGATATACTTTAATACAAAGTTAAAAAAATATGCTTGGGCCTGTTCTTTTAAAACTGAATTCTGTATTAGTTTCCTATTGCTGCTCTAAGAAATGAACTCAAACTTGGTGGCTTAAAACAACACGAATTCATCGTCTTACAGTTCTACAGGTTAGAAGTATGACACGGGTTTCACTGAGACGAAATCAAGGTGTTGATAGGGCTGTGTTCCCTTCTGGGGGCTGGAGGAGAGAATCCATTACTTTTTCCAGCTTCTAGCCGCCATCCCATTCCTTGGCACAGGGTCCCCTCCCCATCTTCCAGGCCCTTTTCACTTTGCATCACTCTAGCCGCCTCTTCTGCGTCCCTCTTCTACTTTTAAGGACCCTTGTGATGACACTGGATAATCCAGATAATCCACCTGGATAATCCAGACTACTCTCCCTATTTTAAGGACAGCTGATTAGCACCCTTAATTCCATCTGCCATGGAATTGCCCCTTGCCATGTAACCCAGCATATTCATAGGGCAGGGATTAGGACGTGGACATTTTTGAGGGGCCATTATTCTGCCAACCACAATTACAGGTTATTTTCATCAGCTAGAACAGGATGGGATAAAAAAGAACATGGGTACAGTGGAAAGAGCACTGCTCAGAGACTCAAGAATCTGTACTTTGCTCTCAGCTCTCTCACTTCCTAATGTGTAGTTCGCCTGACCACTGGACTTTGCTCCCTACCTACATAACGCATTGGCTGCTACACAAAAAACCCAGAAACTTTTCCTTGGGGCCACAGTGTTTTATTACAAAACTAGAATAAAAACTTAGAGTCTAATGTAAAGGTAAACATAAATAGAAAAATGAAATTTATTGACTTCTATTCATTTAATCCACATTTTTAGAATTAAATTGTCAATTGTAACAATAAGAACATCAACAAGTAAGATTTTATGTATGTCTCATGTGGCCTCAGGGTCAAAACTAGAGTGAGTTAAATACAACTCTCGTGGCAGTTAATGTGTTATCCCCTTCTAACATTCTATGAAAGATAAACATTGCCATATCAAATAGAACATGTAGATTCAATAGCTTCTGCGAGCAAATTTTTATTTAAAAAAATATCATTGGGGCAGTAATCCCATCTTCATATTTGGAATTCCCACTGCTGTAAGACCTCATTCTAAAATTGAGACTACCTGTGAAGTACAGCTTCAAAAGACTTTAGACTTCTCTTCAGCTGTCTTGAATTTGAGGATGCCAGAATTTGTGGTGGTCCCAAGAGGCTACATGGAATTCCCTTTTCTGGGTGCAGGTGTAGGTCTTTCACATAGGCCTGGGAATGCGTCTGCGTTCTGTTATTTGCATCATCCTCTTCCTTCCTGCTTTTATTGCCACTTAGTTCTGTTTTTTTAAAATGACTGGATTTTCCTATTCTGTGCTTCCACTGGGTTTTGATTCATTCATTCAGATAGTTTTGGAGCACTTGTCACTGCTGGGCATGTGCGGATGCCGAGATATGAGTTAAGAATAAAGACCCAGCCACTGGCCTCACGGGACTGAGTCTAGATCAGGTGTCGCCAAACAGTTTTGATTACACACCCATCAGTAAAAAAATTTGAGGATGAATTCCTTATGAATATGTAAGGTATGTTGTAAAGCATACACAACAATTGGAAATTAAACAGACATTGCCCTCTTAGTCCCCAGGGAGTGTCCTCAACCATGCTTTGAGACCCTACCATGGTAGAGTTGGCACAGAAAAAGAAAACAGAGAGAGGTTATTAAAAGACAAAGTTATTAAAAGACAAAGAAATGTATGACTAAAAGTAGTTTTCCAGCCTTATCATTCCTTTTGCTCCTTGGGGATTTGTTTGGTGTCTGCTTCAATGTCATCATCCTTGTTTTTTCATTGTAGTCTGGCCTTGCTGCTAAAGCTGGTACTGTCTATCCAGAGGACGACACCTGGAGCCTTTCCCAGGGTCTAGGCCTGACTTTCATGTATTGCTTGGATGCGTTTTATTTAGATCCCCATTCCTCTAGGCCTCCTAGCCTGCTACTCAAGCCAAGTAGTGATCTTTAAGATAAACTTGCAGCTTTTTGGAAATAACTCATATCCTTTTTCCCCCTCAGGAGGGATTTGTTCGCGTTGACCGAGATTATGTGCTGAAGTCTGCAGAGCTGGCAAAAGCTGGAGGGTGTAAACATTTCAACTTGCTGTCCTCTAAAGGAGCTGATAAGTCGAGCAATTTTTTATACCTGCAAGTTAAGGTTTGTGCATGTTTCTATCTTTCCTACACTTTGGAGAACTTGGCTAATGGCGGTACTAAACAATACAAAATGCTGTGTAATACAAAAAGACATTAAATGCATTATATTATGGGTTTTTCTTGTGTGTGTGTGTGTGGCTGCAGGGACTGCTTTTGCAGGAATATATTTAGTAAATGGGAATGATGTGAAAGACAGTTTCCAGTGTCTTGCCCCCTGTTAATTGTCCAGCAATCAGTGGAATGAGATGTGGCAGCTCTGGCCCTGAATGTCAGCATGGAACTTAGTATGGGAAAAGCCTTGGAGGCAGTGATTCTTAAACTTTTCTCTCCGTTTCCCTAATGTCTGAGAGAAAGGAGCTTTTATTTTTCTGGAGATTTGGGGACATCTAGTGTGAAGCAGTCTGCTAGTTACAAGCTCAACTTTCTTAAAAGTCTTGTGTTTTATCTGTTAAAAATTTATAGACATTTTGCTATCTTCAGTACTATACATATCCTTGTTTACTTTAATAAAAAAAAAGTTTCTATATGCTTACCTTCAAGTTAAATTGACACTGCAGGAAGATAGGCTGTGGCTCTGTCTCTGTGCCTCCTGGATGCACCCAAGTGCCACAGTTTGGGAAGCTGGGACTTTGGAGGTCATTCAGCCAAAGACTTTTTCAATGTGAAATCCTTTTACAGATGTTCATCTAGCTTCTGCTTAAATACCTCCAGCACTGGGGAGTTTACCATCTCATTAGCCAACTCGTTCTAGTTTTGGTCAGATCCACTTGCTAAGAAGTTCTGACTTTGAAGTGAAATTTATTGCTGTGTAAATGCTGATTGTTACCAGTTCTGCCTTTCAAAATGACAAATCAAGTCCAGTCGGTCTTTCGCATTATAGTCTTTAAGATATTTGGAGATTATGGTTGCCTTAGTTGTATTTTTTTTTCCAGGCATAACACTTTTAAATCCCAGCACCATTCTTTATTGGTTCCTATTTGTAGCTCCTTCTTCACCCTGGTCACTTTGCTAAGGGTGGACTTCACAGTGATACTATACTGGAATTGTAGTGGGACTACTATTTTCACACTCTGGGCACTATGTTATTTTTTTAAATGATACATAAAATTTTAGTAAACATCTTTATCATTTTATTTGCTCATGATCAGCTTGTGATAATGAAATTTCCGGATCTTTTTCCCATGGCTTACAGCTGAGCCATCTCTCGCCTATCCTAAAATAGTATTTTGAGCCAGGTGAAGATCAGTGAGCCGCCAGCCAAGTTAAATCAAGAATGGAAAAGTTTTAGTTTAACTGCTAGAGTTTAGAATGATTCTTAAAAGGAGAAGAGTCTGCTTGTCAAAATACACATGTGGGTTCTGAAAAAGGTTATCAAATAGGACTTTTGCTCTCATAGGCAATATTAAACATTTATACCTTTTAGGAAAGAAAATGCATATACAGTATTTCCTTATCTTTAAAGATAAAGGCACTACTACCTACTCACTGGGTTATAATAATGACTCATCCAGATTAAAAAAAAATAATAGCCAACACTGATTGAGCCAGGCAGTGTTCTGAGGGTTTTTATGTGTATTTGTGTGGAACCTGAGGCACCATAATAGTAAGATCACCAGCTGTTATGAGGCAGGGGTGGGACTTGAACCCAGACAGTCTGATTCCAGGGTCTGCACTATTAGCCACTATGTAATGAATAGCCTTTGTCACTAATATATCTGGAAGGACCCAGCACAGCCCCTGAGCCATGACAGAGCCTCAGCAAATATTAGTAAGGCCAATAAAATGGAGAGAGACCTCTACATTCACTGACAGTGACCTGTATTATGTGCAGCATGGGATTATGAATTAGATTAATTAAAAGGAAAGAAATGACAACCAAATGGTCCATCCCAGAATGAAAGATGTTTCCTGAATAATCCTCCAACTACTGTATATAACATTCCTAGTATGTATTTCTTATGTTCTCAGCCTCCTTGTGTGTGAACTCCTCCCTCCCACCCAATTGTAGAAACTATTTTTTAGGAATGTGTCTTCTATTCAATGAAATGTCAAACTGCATTCATGTGGGTCATCTCTGGGGCCTGGGTCAGCCACATACTTTTGTGGGCACTCTGGCTGGGGCTGTGGGAGGAGCCGGGTATGGAGCCCAGAGCACTGGACAGGCCTCGTGTTCTCTGTTCTCAGTGTCTATGAGCTTTGGTTTCTTCATCTGTCCAGGGGAAGGTACACGTTCCAAAGTACATGGTATTTTATCATTGAGGGGTAGGGAACCTGCAGCCTTCTGATTTCAAGATTGTTTTTTTTTAAGTACCAAAGGAGGCAAGAAAAGCTTCATCTTTCTCTGTTGCACCCCTTTTCATAAAAGGATTTGTCCTATAAAATTTGGATTCAGTCAAGAGGCTGCACTTAAGGACCTAGAAGGCCACATGCGGGCTTAAGGCTGCAGGTTCCCCACCTCTGCCAGTTTCACAGGACTCAGCATGTAGTCATACTCACAGCTATGATTTATGGCAGTGAAAGTATATAAACGAAAATGAGCAAAGGGAAAAGGTACATGAAGTCTGGAGAAAACTAGGTATAAGTTTCTAAGAGGCCTCTCCCAGTAGAGTTTGCAAAAGATGTGCTTTATTTCTCCAGCAATGAATGTTGTCTGTCAGAGAAACTCGCCTGAGCCTAGGAGTCCAGGGTTTTTATGGGAGTTAGTCACATAGGCACTCTCAACCCAGCAAAAACTGCAGACCTCCAGAAGAAAAGCAGGCGTGCAGTATAAACTGCACTGTTTGTACAGATAGTTTAGGCACAGTAAACTACCCTCATTAGTTAGAGAATGGCGGGAATACTCCCAAAATCCAAGTTCCCAGACACAAGCCAAGGGCCAGCCTTGCAAGCAGGGCTTTCTAAAGACAGCAGTCCCAGCCCGCTATATTAACTCTTTTATGTACACTGCTAATAGAGGAAAAAACACATCTTTATAAAAAGCTAAGAAATGTACATCCACATTTATGTATGAATGTTCATAGCAGCATTATTTAGAATAGCCATAGTGGAAACAACCCAGATGTCCATCAACTGACGAATGGATGAATAAAATATGGTATATGCGTACAGTGGAATATTATTCAGCTGTAAAAAGGAACAACATGGGTGAACCTTGAAACTATTATGCTGAGAGGGGCCAGTCACAAAAGGCCACAAATTGTATGATTCCATTTATATGAAATGTCCAGAATAGGCAAATCTAGAAACAGAAATAGACTAGTGGTTCACTAGGCCCCAGGGAAGAGGGGATGGAAAGTGACTGCTAGTGGTATAGGATTTTTTAGGATGATGAAATGTTTTAAGCTTAGATTGTGGTGAAAGTTACACAGCTCTGTGTATGTGCCAAAAATTACCAATTAAAAAAAAAAGAAAAAGATGTTTAACACATTAACTGCCATGTATGTTGTATTTAACTCACAGTAGTTTTGAGCCCAGGGCCTCATGAAGCAAAACCTGGGCAAAACCCTACAGTTGGTTGGTGAAAATCTTACTTGTTGATGTTCTTATTGTTACAATTGATATTGGCAAATTAATTCTAAAAACATAGATTAAATGAAGTCAGTAAATTTCATTTTTCATTAAATTTTTCATTAAATTAAAAATGATTGTTTTGTTTTTGAAGTTTTTACTCTATTTTCCTAATAAAACACCATGGCACCAAGGAAAAACTTTGTTTTCTAGTGTGGCAGTCAGTGAATTAAAAATAATTATCTAAGATTCTAAGATGTGACAAGTTAAAGGCAAGTGAGTGGTAGAAACAGGCTGAGAAGGAGGAGGCACGTGTGCCGTGTGTGACTGTTGTTCCCAAGGCTTTCAGAGGTGCCTATGGCTTGAGCGCCGCTGGCCTTTGTTTCCAGAGATGCCTGTCATGGTTTGTTTAACAAACCTAATGTAAAGCACCATCTAGATGTAATCTCACTGTCTCAAAATTTTGTGGGATTTGTTAAGTGAGTAATACAGTGGGTCTGTGGGTTTTCTGACCCACTGGAACTACCTATAAACCAAAAAAAGGCTAATGTCTGGCTAGCCTGCAACATTAGTTCTGGACTAAAGGGAGGATTTTATGGTTGAACTGACATATCATTTACCTTCTCTGGACCTGTTTTAATATCATCAGAGTGAGAGATCTGACTATGCAACCATTCACTTATTCCGCGCATTTTTTTAAACTCTCTACTACATATCGGGATTAAGTAACCTCTGTCTTAACTCCCCAGGCTTTTGGGAATCTAAAATTCTGGATAAGGATATTAATGAGTATTGAGACCTGCAAAAGCAGATTACCTTCAAAACTGCAAATTATTCTCTCTTATGCTTTTATGTAAGTGGGTTAGTCTTGATTAAATACTGAAACTTTTTTTTTCTTAACAGGGAGAAGTGGAAGCCAGGGTTGAAGAATTAAAATTTGATCGTTACTCAGTTTTTAGGCCTGCGTAAGTATGCATACTGCCTGTGAGTACACCAGTATTGGTAGTGCCTAGAAGCTAGTTTTTCATTTGAAGAGGCTGACAGCTAAGATACTAAGGTATGAAAGAAATTGGCTGGAGGTGGATTGCTTCTTAATGCACATACCTTTTGGCTTAGAAAGAAAGTATAGATGGTGGTACCAGCTTCAGAATAGTCTAGAACTCCCTGGATAGTATTTGCTGCTGCCTTTTTTTAAACTGTCTTTATGTACCAAATAAAATCTTATAGCTGCTATATTAGTCTGCTCAGGCTGCTGTAACAGAATACCACATACTGGGTGGCTTAAACAACAGAAATTTGTTTTCTCACAGTCTGGAGGGTGGAAGTCCAAGATCAGGGTACCATTAGGGTTGGTGTCAGTGAGGCCTCTCTTCCTGACTGGCACATGGCCTCTCCTCCGTGTGTGTGTGTGTGTGTGTGTGTGTGTGTGTGTGTGTGGAGAGAGAGAGAGAGCGCACGAGCTCATTTAACCTTAATTACCTCCATAAAAGCCTTATCTCCAAATACAGACATGTTGGGGTTAGGGCTTCAACATACAAATTTTGAGGGGACATGATTTGGTCTATGATGCCGCCATGGTTTGAATGCAGTTTACCATCTCTTCCTCTGCTTTTCTTTTTCTCTTTAGAGTTCTGTTATGTGATAGGCAAGAATTTCGCCCAGGTGAATGGTTGGTTAGAAAGTTCTTTGGCTCCTTACCAAAATCTTGGGCCAGTGGGAACTCTGTGCCTGTGGAGACCGTGGTTAGAGCGATGCTGAACAACGCCGTGAGGCCAAGCAACGAGAAAATGGAACTTCTGGATAACACAGCCATCCACAACCTGGGGAAAGCTGACAGCTCCCTCAAGCCATGACCCCGCTGGAGAAATGCTTTTATTGTAAACTTTAACACCCATCACCAGATTGGTAATTACCAGATTGGTAATTTCAGGGTCTAAAAATATTCAGCATACTGTAACTTTGTTGTTTTCCTCTTCGCAGCCACTCAGATCCAATCAAGAAATGACTGTGCTCTGCATCGGTGGTTCAGAGCCTGGTTATACATACAGATCACCCAGGGAGCTTTTGAGAAAGATTTATAGGCCCTATCTCAAACCTTCTGAATCAGAATTTTTAGGGTATGTGCACAGGCATCTGTAGTTTTCTTTTGTTTAAACTTGCCTTGGTTGTTCTGATGCCACTAATTGGGAGGCCAGCTTTGAAATGTTTGTCTGCAGAGTCACAGCAGCGGTGAAAACCTTCTGTGCTATGCAAATGAGCTCTGTTCTAAAATTGTTGACATTCATATCTCTGAGTTACACAGGTGCTAATTAACTACATGTAATTGTGTAAATGAACATTATGCTTTTACTACTTTAGAATATATAATAAAAGTTATATAATTAAGCTTATATAATTCATGGGGAGAATTAAATAAAGGAATAAAAATAAATGGACAAATCCTAGATACCTCTTAGATTGTTCAAAAAGGCCCATGTATTAGTGGTGATATGCAGCATTTGGGCCATTGGGGTGATATAATAGCAGCTAATTTTTATCAAGTGCTTGCTAAGTACCAATCTTTACATGTGTTATCTGTGCTTTAACCCTCCAAACCATCCTAACAGAGTGTGATACTTATCATTATCTTCATATGTTAGTTGGGGAAACTGAGGCTTACTGTGGTTAAGTACCTTGCCCAAGGATCCAAAGCTGAAGACTTATAGCTAAGAAATGGCAGAGTCAGGATTCTAACCTAGGTCAGCATGATCACATAGCTTGTATTTTTGAACCACTCTGTAAGAGCACCAGGTATGCTATTTATTTCCAGGTAGTTCCAGTTAATTGTTAGTACATGTTGTGGATGAATACAGTTGAAATAGTTGGACTTCTCCTTTGATCTAGGATGCTTATGATTAACCAAAAAATGTGCACATAGCCATTAAAATTTGATTTCACTATACTTTAAAGGCCTAAGGTGCTGCACTTTAACAACTATTGCAAAGGAAAGGAAGATGCAGCAGTAAGGGCCAAAGACACTGTGCTAATTTCCATCATGGAACAAAAGATGGTGGTGAAACTTAACATCTGCGCTGGGGGAAGCAAAGTGATTTGAGTGATTCAGTTAATTTTTACAAGGTCTATAGTATGCTAAGTACATGTCAAGCTTCAGTGTACACTAGAAGATAAAGGCAGTGGACATTCCCAATGTCAGTCACCCAGAAAAGAGGAATATATTAGGGCAGGCTGGGATCTTGGAATGTGAGCCATAGGGCAGGAGAGGGGAATATACTCCTACTGCCAGGTGGGGTTCCCGTGGGGCTGGTCTTTGAAGAGCCTATGTGCGTTTCAGTGGTAAAAAGCATGGGCTCCAAGAAGTGAGGGAATCCTTGGGGGTACCCCATGAGGATATGCTGAGGCCTGTGGGCTCTGAAAGCAGCCCATCCTAGTGGCCAGTTTGAAGTTATCCTCTTTATATTATGTCCTTTTCCACAAACCATCAGGCAGGTCTTATTCAGCATTCTATTGAGGCCTCAGTGAAGTGGGATGATGGGAAAGGGTCTGTGTTTATCTTTGAAGGAGAGAGAAAAGTAGCCTCCTCCTGAGCCCTTCATTGTAGTAAGATATGAACTTCAGAGGACAAGAGTCTGGCCCAGTCACCCCCCGCCCCAGACCAGGGGTTAGTTACTTCTTTCATTGTCAACGTGGAATGATTGGGTGTTACTAAGGGATTCAGCAAGTTTCCCTCCAAATGTTACACAGAGAGGAAAAAAAGAGTTTATGGTGGAAGGATGAAGGGAGAAAGTTGGGCCCAGGTAACGAAAAGCCTTGAATTCATTAATTCTTTCAGCAGATGCATATTGAGTGCCTCCTATGTGCCACTGGCCACATCAGTGGACAGTGAGTTGAACTCAGGGGAGCCAGCAGATGTTCTGGCAACATCCTAGGATGTGAGGGGGCTTCAACACTAATGTTAGATGGGTTCTGTCCTCTAGGAGTTTACAGTTAAGGGAGAGGAGTACATTCAGAAGAGTTTAGCAATAATACAAGCCATCAATTTCATTCAGTAAATGTACTGAGTAGCTACTATGTGCCAGGCCATGCATCATGTGCGCCATGGCACACACCTGTAGCCCCACCTACTCTGGAGGATGAGGTAGAAGGCTCGTTTAAGCCCAGGTGTTTGAGATCAGCCTGGTACACAGAGTGATAGTCCCGTCTCTTAAAAAAGAAAAAAAAGAGACATGGCCCTTACTTACCTTTATGGTGCAATGTTATGGGGCAAGACCAAAAAAGAAAAAAATCAAGTAAGCAAATGTTAGGTGCTAGGAAAGACACTAACAGGTGCTGCTCCTGGAATAGCAGTGGAACCTATTTTAAAAATGGTGGTCTGAGGAAAGTCTGCCTGGTTGACACCAAAAGGAAGACCTACCCATTTGTAGAGCATTGAATGATTGATTAGCAGTAAATAAATAGGCCTGAAGGCAGGACCCAGGGTGAAGGGTAGAGTTGGAAAGTTAGGTAGGATTAAGCAGGAAGGCCATGGTAGTCAATTAGATAAACATGTGCCAAGCAGTGCTAGCCTCTGGACACGCACTAAAATGACTGCTGCCCACTCCCACCTAAGAAAGAATTCTATGGTTTGATTTGATACCAGGAAAGGAAGGAAGTGGCATGAGGCAAGGGAATGTTTGGATTCTTCTCCCCACAGCAGCCAGAATGTTACTTTCTAAACACATCTGATGGCATCACTCCTTTGCTGAAACCAGAGTTCAACTGTTTCCCATTGTTTAGGGTTAAGACAAGACTTAGGTCTAAGCACTTTACAGGTATTAACTTATTTTATCCTTACTGTAGTCCCGAGGTTCGTGCAGTCATTCTCGTTTTGTAGTTGACGAAATTATCGCTTCTCGGCCTTTTGGCTAAGATTAAGTGTGTAATTGAGGAAACTGAGGCAGGAGGAGGTCAGGTGACTTGCTCAAGATCATACATAAAGTGACGTAAGTAGGATTCAAGTCCAGTAGGCTGGTTCTAGCGTCCACGTTCTCACATAACCACTTTAAAGATTAAAATCATTTTGGGGGGGTCTGGCCCCTATCTGGTGTCTGCAGCACAGCTACACTGGCTCATGCACTTAGTTCCCTCTCCAGCTGTTCCCAGCGAGGACCTGGCAGCCTAAGCACTGGAGTCGGGCCTCGGGCCCTCGCCTGCGTTCGGCGCCACCAGAGGGCGCCGCGGGGGCGGGCTGGTCGGCCCTCCACTAACCGCTCACTGTTGGAAAAGGGGACGCAAAGAACACACGATGCCGACAGCAAATGCACTGCGGCGTCTCTCCGCCTCCGGGCACAGGGCCGCCGGCTTGTTCCTCCCTCAGCCCAAAGAGGACACGAATGTCCCCTGCACGCCTGCTACGTCCAACCCGTCCGTACGGAGCATCCTCGGCGCTCACTGCGTCGGCCCCGCAGCGGGAGGAGCGGGCTCCGCGCCCTCGGCCCGCCCACCCGCCTCACGTGACCAACACGGCGCCTCGAGGCCGGAAGCGCTCGCGAGCCTGCGCGCGCGCTCTCGCATTTCTAAGCGTCCGCGAAGTTCCCCGAGAACGGGCTCTGCGGCGGGCTCGCGCAGACGCTCGCTCCCGGGGTCCCGGCCCGGAGAGCGCGGCGGCCTCGGTGTGAGCGCGTGCTGCCCAGCCTGGTCCCCGCCCCCAGACACGCTGGGCTCCCGGGGCACCGCGGCCATGTGCTCGTTAGCGTCAGGAGCCACCGGTGGGTACCGTGGCCCCTCGGCGCCGGGCTCGCCCAGCCGCAGGCCGCGCCGCCGAGGGCCGGTGAAAGACCCTCCCCTTCCTCGGCGCCCTCCGGGACGCGGGCTGGGCGGCCGGGCCTTGCAGGGAGGATGGAGGAGGTGCTGGGTGAGGGCCGCGGGCGAGCGAGGCGGGAGCGGCGCTCCCTGGGGAGAGCACGCTCCCCACGCTGCTCCCTGTGCCCCTCGTCGCTCTGGTGTCCGAGTTAGATCTGATTGTTGTGCGTGTGTTAGGCGGCCGGGGCGCTGTGGAGGATGAGGAGGACCTGCCAGAACTGTCGGACAGCGGTGACGAGGCCGCCTGGGAGGATGAGGATGATGCTGATCTTCCCCACGACAAGCAGCAGACCCCCTGCCTGTTCTGTAACAGGTTCGTCCACCTCAGCGCCTGGCCCCAGCCCTAGGGTGCCTGGGCTGTGTGGGGTCTGTGTGGTCTGTCCAGGAACGACTGGTCAGGAGTCGAACCAGAGCGGCCTGTCCTTGATTTCTTGAACCACTAGTTTGGTGTAAGGGTTTGTTGAGAAGGAAGACTCACAGTGGTATAGAGGAGGAGCCACGAACAGGAAGCCAGGATGTACTACTGTTCCTCGACTGGCCTCAGTTTCCCCTTGTGTAAAATGAGACAGTCTTGGATTGAATAGTTGGTTTCCAAATCTGGTTGTGCACCCTTATCTCCTGAGACACTTAAAAAAATATATCCAGATGCTAAACTCTGCACCTTACTCCTCCTAAATCAGGGATGGGGTCTAGGAAGCTTCTGCTTCTATAACGACACTAGCCCAGGTGATTCCAATGAGTAACAAGCTTGGGAGCCACACCGAACTAGGTGATTAATCCCTAAGGACCCTTCCAAATTTACCATTCTGTCATTCTTTGACCAGTAGAAAGCTGCTCAGGTGTAACACTTCTGTTTGAGCCATTTAGTCTTAGGTCACCTTTCTTAAGTAGGGGCTCCCCACCTATTGAAGAGGAAGGTATTCATCCCTTTTTCACTTAGGGAAAAAGAAACTGCAATATCAATAACTTGCTCAAGGTCACAAAAATGTGGTTTTTCCTATTCCCAAACTCAGATTCTTTCTACTTAAAATTCCGCCTCTTAGTCTCAAGCAGCTTTGATTTTGGCTGCTCTTTTGGGCAAGCGGGCATGAAAAAGGCCTGATTGGCACTGGCCAGTGTTGCTTTAATAAACTTATTTTAGCGTTCCCTGTATCTGGGCATGGTGCTGATTGGTGGCATATTAGTGTTCTCCTGTGTCGCCTCTTTGGGTAGGTAGAATGTCTGCATATACTGTAGTTGTCATAAAACAATATTTATTGAGCATCAGGGGTGCAGTGCCTGTGATAGGCTCCATAAATACTGTAAATAGCCTATCTCAGTAAACATTTGTTGAAAACTAAAGCTGCAAATCTGCTAGGAGTATAGAGGATGTGTGCAGCTGCTCTGCTGTGTATTTCTGTCTTATGTGTCCTTCAGTTTTGCAGGTCACATAAAAAGGCTTGATCCCCACAGTGTCTGTAATGCAAGTACTCTGGGAATACTACAAGATCGCTTTTGAAATACGGCACTTTGGGAATGTGCCAGTTGTAGAATTACATTTTATGCTTTTTTCCTAAAAGCAGTTTGAGCTGTGCCAGTTCAAAGCCTCTGAAAGCAGAGTTGACACTTAGAGGAGAAAAGAATCTCAAGTAGGGAATTTTTGTGACTTGAGAGAAACAGTTTACCAAAGGGAACTCTTTCATAAAAGCCTTTTGATAAATTCAGTGCTATTTGGCAAATAAATTAACTTTGAAGTTTAAATAGCAATTTGTTCTAGGTGTAAAATGGGACTCAGAAATACTAATTTCCTTTAGTAGTGCTGGATTCCATTCCTTTCATCCACACGTGTGTTTTTTCTTAATCGGAAATAGAAATCAGCAGAGTGAAAAAAAAAGTATATATTTAACATGAAATCAATATTTAGACTTCTTGGGGGACTATTCCATGAAGATATTGCTTGCTTTTTCAGGTTATTCACATCTGCTGAGGAAACATTTTCACACTGTAAGTCTGAGCATCAATTTAATATTGATAGCATGGTTCATAAACATGGTGAGTAACTTTTAGAATAAAGACAAATTATGAAATTTAAATTCAAATTTTATAATTTTCCAGACACTTTTTCTATATAAGTCTAGTAAAACGAAGCCTATAACAGCTTATTTCACGGAAATGAACTTTTTTTTGACAAGTGGTCTTTGGGGAAAGATTAAGTCACTCTTCTAGACAGTATTTACTGTGTGTATATTGTTTTTACAACTAAACAGGGAAAAAAACTTGGCATGTGATTGCATTTTTGTTATATTAGAATTAGGGAGAACAAGGGTGGAGGTGGACTTTGGAAAAGGAGACAGGTCATTTGAAAATAGCTTAATCAGGTCAAAGCATAACATGAACTTCGATTGAGTTTTGTTAAGAAATTTGGTGGGGAGTATAGAAAGAGCATGGAGTTAAGATAACATGCAAATATTCAGGTGATGTTTCTTACAACTTGTATTTAAACATACCTCACAATAAAAGCTTTCCACTTTAAATGGATATAGAAGAACTACACTGTTCCACTAAAATTAACTAAATACAAATGGTTTTTTTGGTCCTTATACTTATTAATGACTAGAAGAGACATTGTTAAAGAATAGCAAATACTAGACAGATTTTTAGGTCTCAGATAAATGTGTGATATAATATGTTTATAAATATATTCAACTGCAACTACTTTTGTAAAATGCAAATAAGAGCCTCATTCTTATGTTTCTAATGTTTCATTTTTAAAATAAATTGGAATCATACTTCAGATATAATTTTGTATTTTTTCACTTACCAATATAGGGGTTTTTATGCTTTTGAAGCTCAAATATTCATAATGATATTCTCATGACAAATAATAACCAATTGGTTGGATATGTTACTGCTTTCCTTTATTTTAAATGCTGCTTCATTTCTGGAAAGATATGACAACCAGATAACAAGCCTCATTGTTTTTTAATTTGCATCATTTAACATCATGTAAAAGCTAGGTTACTTCATGTCCTAACAAAATTATAATTTGGTAGGCACCATGAAAATTAGGGATTTAGAAACTTTCAGCTTGGCCAGGCGTGGTGGCTCATGCCTGTAATCCTAGCACTCTGGGAGGCCGGGGCGGGAGGATCGCTTGAGCTCAAGAGTTCAAGACCAGCTCTGAGAAAGAGCGAGACCCCTTCTCTATTAAAAATAGAAAAAATTAGCAAGTCAACTAAAAATAGAAATTAAAAATTAGTCAGGCGTGGTGACTCGTGCCTAAAGTCCCAGCTGCTCGGGAGGCTGAGGCAGGAGGATCGCTTGAGCCCAGGAGTTTGAGGTTGCTGTGAGCTAGGCTGACGCCACGGCACTCACTCTAGCCCGGGCAACAGAGTGAGACTCTGTCTTGAAAAAAAAAAAAAAAGAAGAAAGAAACTTTCAGCTCTACTATCAACTGCCAAATACTTGGTAAAATCTAGGACCCAATTTTCCAGATTCATATTGTTCTGACAAATGAGGAGTAGAATTCTAAGAATTTCCTATTTTTTAAAAATATGAGAAAACACTTAAAATTTTGTTGTCTATGGCTGTTTCTCAAGTAAAATATTTAGAAGTATCAACATTATTTCTTATTTTTAATAAAAGCAAAGTAGTAGTTTAGAGCTCAAATATTTTATTGTCTAATTGGAGAAGTCTTTATAGACAGGTCAATTAAACAAAACATTATGTTAAAATAGGTGAATTATCTTTTTTTTTCCCCCTTTAGGACTTGAATTTTATGGATACATTAAGCTAATAAATTTTATTAGACTTAAGGTAAGTCAACAGCTTAATTACAATTTGTTTAGAAATTAAAGAAATGCCACCATGACTATCAATGCACTGGTTATTTAAGAGAATACGAGGAACTGTTATAAGTTTAAGACAGGAGCTGTTTTAAATTTTGTACTCATCATATTGGGGAATCATGAAATTAGGAACTAGCACAACATAAAGCACCAAAAGTATCATTTTTAACTGCATCTAAGAGATGATTCGGTGTTAGATAAAGGGAAATACTGATAGACAATATTGCTGTAAAATCTGAAGTAATTTCTAGTGTGATTTCAAGTACTTTGCTCTTCTATTTTTTCAAATACTTTTTTTTGGTTCTATCTAAACGAATATTTTTGTTGTCAGTTTCTCCAAATCCAAACTATATAAAACTTTAGGTTGAAACCATTAATTAAGCAACCATGCAGTCAAGTTAAAGACATGACAGGTAAATAGAAACATACTGGTTTTGTATAATGCAGACATGATTTCTTTTTTTGTTAAATTTCCCTAGTTTTTATTAGGGAGATTTTGTGGTTATATGCAATGAAAAAAAATTCAATTAATTTTACTTCCAGAATCCTACAGCTGAGTATATGAATTCCATTTACAACCCAGTGCCTTGGGAAAAAGAAGAATATTTGAAACCAGTATTAGAAGATGACCTTTTACTTCAATTTGGTAAGATGAACATACTTTATCTACTTTAATTAACTTTGGGCCATTTTGTATGGCAAAATGGAGGTAAAGTCTTTTAGGAAACTATATCATCTTTTTAATTCTCTAAAGACCTCATCAAGTAGGTGGTTTCTATAGAAGAGGTAAGTCACTTAAAACTGACAGTCACACTAACATTACCAGAGAGGAATTTAGAAATATGAGCTTGTTTAAACATTTTGTACAGGATGTTTTGAAACATAGGGAGATGTGAGAGCATAATTTTTAGTTGTTAGACACTGATTTTTAAAAAAATCGTTAAAGTGGATTTACTAATATTTGTTGCTTTTGTCTCATATATTCAGATCAGGTGATTGACTTTTCTTCCTATAACAGCTTATTTCACGGAAATGAACTTTTTTTTGACAAGTGGTCTTTGGGGAAAGATTAAGTCACTCTTCTAGACAGTATTTACTGTGTG